ATATCCGAAGTTTCAGCCCCCCAGCTTTCCTGGTTTCCGAGTTGAAAGTGGGTGACAAAATGCACTAGCTTTGCGAACACACACACACACACACACACACAGCCTCTCGACAATATGCGTTTTTGCTGGCTGTAGCAGCTATAGCGCTGCACAGCAAAAACGCATAAAAAAAGGACTACTCGATTAGTCCTAAAAGGATGTGGGAAGATTATGAGGAAGAGCGTGAGCGTAAAAGAACAATGAGTGCTCTTGGAATTACATGAAGTTCGCATAGCTAGGCTGGAACTGCAGAATTTTGCTTCCCGTGAACTATCGCTTGCGCTTATTTAGCCTAAAGACAACGTCGTGGACGAATGTAGGTGTAAATCTCGAACGTAGGTAACGATCCGGCAACTTTCTCTTCACCAAATCCATGACAGGACTGAAATAGCTGCGTTGTTTTTCAACAAGATCGAAAGCTCCATACCAATAGTTTGATTGAAGCTGCTAGCACTGTTTGTTCTAATAAGGTTACCATAATTCTTACACTACATTATATTTCTCGCCTTGCACTAGTTTTTCAAATCTTCAGAGGTGGAACTGTACAATAGAAGAAAGGGCGCAAAAGTATATAGACCACTGTGTATTCAAACATTCGACGAGCAATGAACGAAATGGCGCAGGCGAGAATCTCTATTCTTACTGGACCTCAGGAAGTGATGAAGGTAATGCTTTTTTCTTTCATTATATCCTAAAGTGCAGTTGGATAAGACGAGCTGTACAGACTCGACCCCGACCATTACAAGGTTTCCAAGCTATAAAAACCTTTAATCTTGAGCACACAGTTTCAGGCAAATTCTGTAACATCAAAACCGGAAATATTGAGAGCCTAGTGCATTTCCGCGTGCACGGTTGAAAAACTGAGAACAGTCTCTTGGCTGCTCCCTTAGAGCTTTGGCCTCAAGTCTGAATGCAGGCGGATTTTATGATTCGAGAACTAAAGAACGGCACAGGCTTGAAATATTGAGGAAGATATTTCACAATTTACCAAGACTAAAAATCTGAGAAATCATTTTAAGTTTATAAATTTTTTTGGCTTGAAATTACAGAATTTGAACTCCAGATCAAACGTAAGGGCAAAAAGCGACCTGAAAGTTAACTTCAATTTCGAGGCCGCATACACAATCCAAAGCTTCTTTTTCTTGTTTCCCATTTCCCTAGTTTCAGAAAATATCTTCTGTGTTCTGTATATTTATTCTTTGAAGAAGCGGTGGCAACAGCAGGCACGTCTGCTGGTAGCGCGTGGTGGTCTGAACTGGGAAAATACTACAAAAATAATCCGAACAACACGCTGACGATAGCAGTTTTCGATCTGGGAGTTGGACATTTCACACAGGTAATACAGTTTTGCGTGAACTAGAGACGTGATTGCCGCAAATGTTAAACAATTTTTGGCGGTACTTAATGCTAAACATTATTTTGATTATATGTCATTTTGTCGTAATGCACCCCGTGCAGCTAGTGTAGGTGGCATTCTCTTAGCTCCAGCTACATAAACTGGAAACTGATGTAGCTCACAAAGCATCAATGATGGCCAGCTTGCTAGTGATTCTGGCGTCCCTTTTCCTACTTTCTGGCTCCCGGATTGAAGGAATTTAAAAATAATACGCCAAATCAGTGGTTCTCAGCCTGGAGGCCGCGAAGGCAGGCAAAAAAGGGACGAATTGAGAACTGCATTAAATTTTCAACAAATTTCGATGTAAAAATCGACAACAATCCAATTGGCACGTTAAAGCACCACGAAATCGCCACTTAAGCGAGAAAAGCGTTAATGAAATCATTTTAAATTCAGTCAGATATCATAATAGATTATATTAATAGATTAACTCATTTTCCCGCCTCGCCAAATTTAAAGACGTTTCATGAGAAAACTGAAATATTTTATGCAGTCTAGTGCTTCAAGTCTTCAATTAAGTCTCGCTGGGCAGCGGCGGCAAAAGATACTTAAAAGGGGGGCACGATGAAAAAATTTTGAGAACCACTGCGCTAAATGATTAGTATTAAAATTTTTGTACGAAGAAGCATAATGTGCGAATTTTTAGCTTTTTTTCCTATTTATGCGACATGTTAAACATTAAATTCGATCTTTAAAAAATTCTTGAATTACCTTTCAAGCTAAAAAACTGGGTCACTTATAGCTCAAAGCTTTTCTTCATATTTTACAATCGAAAAGGTAAATTCCATTTTACTGCTTCATTACACATCTGAGCGCATTTTTTGGTCTTTCCAAGGCAATTTTGCACTTCTTGAAGGCAAATGGTACTTCGGTATGAAATGCGGTCAACAAAAAAGTTTCTAAATTTGGACGCTGGAGTAAAGGTCAAGTGGAATTAAAATTTGTAGTGTGGAAACCAATTTCAAGTCTTTTGTGCTCCTTTTTCAAACCAAATCCGGGAAAATTTCGAGTATGCGGTTTGTTTTGTGCAGGATTAACAAGATTAATCTAGATATGAAGAGCTGGTATTTTAACAGCTTGAGCACTCGAACCGCATTATCTGTCATTACAGATGGCTTGGGGCAATACATACCAGATTGGCTGTGGCATTGCATCACACTGCGGTAATGGACATACAATAATGGTTGATTGCCAATACAGAACCTCGTAAGTTTGAACTAAATATTAAAACTAATAGCGTAAACAGGATTTCTGGGCGAAGTAATTTCAATTATTTTGGACTTAGGACACATTTGGTAACTTTTAGCATAAATACATCAAAAAGTTCGATTAATAAAAAGTCTACATCAGGAAGGCTTGACCAAGTGTTTTTGGGACAAATTATTGTAGGTACATACTGTTTGAACGCAGCAATGCACACACAGTGCGGTTTTTAATCTGACCTGCCCGTCATTTGGCTTTCACCTCTTCCACCAGAACACTATCCGGACCTTGCTCCAGTACCCTTCGTCTAGTTACCTTCTTTAAGCTCGTTCGGCGTTTGCAGAATTAGCGCATCGTCCTTCCAAACTTTTTCAGCACACACCGTCGTCCACATAAGCCATGATCTCTGCGACGTCGAACATAGCAGGCTACCGCTGTAATTTTTTTTGCAAACTGGCGATGCACAGTGATGGCGAGTAGGTCGTGTTCACCCGGGCTAGATGCCAGCTCAAATACGATACGACACGCAATGGGTTCACCCCAAGGAATTCCAGCTCGTAGCTTACCCTGTTCTAGAGTTTTGACACAAACTTCCATATGATTTAACGTGATAAATCAAAATACTCTTTTCTGTAGAAAATGGTTTAAACTTTTTTTTTTTTTTAAATCACGCGGAGAAATGAAACGAATTTTCGAATTTTTGACTTATTCTGCTTTGAAAACAAAATTGAATTTGTTTCTGAGGTCACAGTTCAGGACACAGTGAGGCTTAAAAACTGACGTGAGGCCACTTGCTGTTGAATTCAACCATTAAGCTTCTGATTTCTAATTTAATTTATTTTTATGCTATAGAATTAGTATAAATTGCATCCAAAAAAACGTAAGTCAAACACACGCGCGCATGTCCAGTTAGTGTGAGATCTTAACATTTTAACGCGCAAAAAGTGACAAAATAAAACAAATACATCTTCAAGGTATTAATTGCAGTGGAAATTGGCTTGGAGCCAAGATATACGAATTGGGCAAACCATGCGAAACGAATGCCGACTGCTCAACGCAAAAATGTGAACCAGAAAGCGGACTGTGCCTAAAATGATTTGATTTTATCTTATGTTTTTTCGCTATGTCACCTAGATGATCAAGATGGATGAGGCGCAGTGTTCAGAGTTTTTGTTACTGATATGCTTTTTTAGCTTCACAGTAGAACCTGCTCTTTAAATGCACTAGCTCATTCACCCACTGTGCATCGACAACAGTCAATTGCAAAACAGATGTTCGTTTCTGATGTATTGTGAACACCGCCCTTCGTTAATATTTTGATTTCAGATTATGCCAGGGGTTTTGTTTTGTAGTGCATGATTAAAATAAACTAGTTTATTCTCATGCAAATTTACATTCAGCAGTTAACACAGCTCTTGCAAAAAACGAATAGAGAGATAAGTACGGTCGAGGCAGCTCATTAATATGCAGTTTTTAACAAAAAATTGGGTACAGTTTCACTCCGCAGGTGGGACGATTTCTTGATTAACCTAAACTGAGTTGCTACGCACCAGGCTTGCACGATGAAGCAGTCAAAACTTTAAAAGTGTAAATGGTTGTAGCCCTACATTTAACATTTGCACTCATCTCAAATCACCATAAACTTTTGCATAAAGGGAAATAAGTTCCGTTGATCGATTGTTCATTGCAAATAACCTGGCTGTCCTGACTCCCGGATTAGCTGTTTTCCCGCCAAAAATTTCACTTATCCCCACGCAAGAACAGGCGTACTTAGGAACTGGCTTTGGAAATCTTGAAATCGCACGTGAACAAAGGACATCTTCCCAAAATTTCAGCTTTCTAGCTTGCCTGGTCCCCAAGTTAGCAGTTTTCCCGTCAAAATTTTCCCGTTCTCTTGCTCAGGTAACGTGAAAATTGGCGCCATGTTCTGAATAGTGCTTGGCCAGAATTTCAGTTGGTAACATTTCAACATTAAAACTTACCTAGCCGCCGAGCTGAAATACCCGGACAGACCAACAGACAGACACACATACATACCATGGGTCGTCATAATATGTTTTTGCATTTGAATAAATATACAAATTTACTGGGCAGGAAAAAGAAGACATTTCTGATATTTTTTTTTTTGAAGATGCAACGTATGCAATGAGCTACGAGTTTGATGAGGTAATTTCGAAGGAGAAAGTATAGTTCCAGCTGAGTATTACTATAGATATTAGAACCAGACAAGAAAAACACTGCAGCCAAAAACAAATGCTGTGTGCATAAACGCTTGCACCTGTAGGAACCACTTTAACTACAGAATGGCAACAGCAGTTATATGCCACATCCTTGCTAGATATATATTTATATACATGAGAATATGGCCATATATATATATATATATATATATATTCATACACATAAATGCATGTGAGTATACATATATATATATATATATATATATGTGAGTGTGTGAAAATATCCCTGTGTGTATGGCAATGACTAATGCCGTGCGCACAACGCTATCAAAGTGTTTGTAGCTCGCCATCAAAAATGCATCGTAGTAGAAAAGTTGTTTATTGATTAATTTCAAAATGGGACGAGGATGGTCGCCGGGTGACGAAGATGGTAGCGGCAGCAGAAGGATCCTTGAAACGCTGATTACGTGGGAAATGGTTGAAAAACTGTTGCAGAGCGCGTTTCGGACCAAAGTTTCGTTTGGCCCAAACAAACGCACTGTTCAAATAGGTATTGGCGAGGTTTGGTTCAGTTTTTATGCATTTTCCATATACATAGACTAGCAAGCACGGCATACAGGCACGGCAGGTTTCAACTCTGTAGCTGAACACCCCACCCTTCATGATCTTTTCAGTGTTTTGGTGGTGCGTTGATACTAATACCGGCCAGGAGATCGCCATCAGCTTGCTTCTAAGCAAACCTCGGGAGCGATCGACAGCATTGCCATGAGTGGTTGCTGTTGGGAGTTGCTACTAATCGAGCTAATTTCGAGTGCCTCTGTCACTCAAGTCTGAATAGGTATGGCGAGGCTCCCCTTACTTGATGCAGCCGTTTTTCCGAAAACAAACAAAGGGAAAAAAATCTTTTATGGCCATCACTCCAACTTCAAACTCTTTAACTTTTATTAGGGCTTGCCTAATATATCTTTTTTTCTCATATGTGTTCTCAGCGAATGACTCTTTCTGCCTCCCTCTTCCCGCCTCCCCCTCCGCCTATATGTAGACCTAGTAGAAAGCGTACCGGCTGCCGGTAGGAA